ATTATAACCATGCTATTACCTGGTTGGTCTGAAACGACGTTCTTCAGGCATCGGAAATGTTATGACATTTGTCACCCTAGACCTGCCGGTCTAACTGTTGCATGCAGTTAAGGTGTGGGTTTGTCAAACCCAATATAGATCTATATACAACTATCACGCTCTCCCTTGAGGAGACTCTGACTACAATACATGACTTATTGGTAAATGTGTAGTGAATGTCTCACAAAGTCATTAACGAATTTACGTCTAATATGATGAAAATTCCTTTTTCAATAAATGTACACTTTTTGTATGAGTGTGTTGTGTAATGTATCATAAATATACCTATTATAGTTTATCCAAAACAAGGGTAGTAATGGTAATGTATGTAAACTATATTTAACATAGTTTATTCAAGTGTTTGTATGAAATGGATGTACTTTGATTATAACAATTTGTTATCTTTTTATATTCCATATATATGTATCAAAATCCATTTATTAACTGATGCATGTCTATATACCAAGGCAAAATGCAATTTATTTTCAATAACATATATTCACATAAAGATGTACACCTTGCTCGACATGTTACAAGGTGAAATGAAATTGTTAGCATTTTTCTGTTATTAACAGTTTCTATTACTGTTCTTAGAAACTTTATAGAAAATTTATAACAGATCCAAATCCGAATCCTTAAATTCTGGGAGTTTGGAAAATGAGTCTAATTTATTCATAAATTTTCCCATGATTTTTAGTGACCTACAACTTAGGTGAAAACGTCCATAAACACAGACTGGTCCAGATTGGTTCTTGAAATGATAGGCAGTTTTGTAAAAATGACCATAAATTGTAGAAAAATCCTATGGAAATTTTCAAGTAGCCATTTTAAAGCTAAGAACTTGAACTACTTCCACCTTTTACAGTTTTAAAAATTAAAATGTTTTAGTTGACCAAAACAGTCCGTGAATGGAGTCCAACTTTTCTGATGAAAGCTATTAGAATCATTTAGTTGTGTTCTTGGTGATTTAACTTGGATTCCCCCCTCCCCTTTAAAACTTAAGAAAATATGAAAATGTAGGGGTATGAACTCACCTTGAGTGATTTCAAAGGGTGTATGTTGAAGAAGAGAAGTGTTCAACTCAAGAACACTTGAAGGATTACTTTGAAGATTCAAGAATCTAACACAATAATGATGGAGTTTGTTTAAGAAATCAATGATTTCAATAGAATGAAGTGTAATTATCAGAAGGAGTATGAATTATACTTAACACGATTGTAAAGTTGGCAAGACTCTGTCTGCTGAGCTTCCTTCGCTCAGGTTGTAAAAGCTTTGGTCTCCATTAAATGGAATAGGTTGATCCTGTTCTTGGCTCCATGTTTCCAAGCTTTCCACCCATGGGGGTGTCGGGCCTTGAAAAGTCGGACGATTGGATAATCATCTTTTGGCTCATCTTCAATCCATCCAACAGTGCCTTCGTTTGGGAAGAACAGGTCGTCGTGGGGATGGCATCCTGCCATGTTATCTATGCGAGAATAGGGATAAAGAAATAATTAATAGACGTACTAACTAGATAATTATAAGATGATCTTTATTAGTTACTTCAATACTTATATAGTGCATACCAGTTATATGTAATCAAAACAAGATAGACCTTCGAATAAGTGACCCTAACTCTAAACCACAACCAAAAAAGGAGCAGGGAGTAAAGCAAAGATCACAGATTCTTAGTCTTTGACATCTTAGTTACATATAACCTTAACTATTGACCTACTAATAAAGACCTTTTTAGTTCTCAGAAAGAATTATAGTAACACAAAATACTCCTATAGTATTTTAGGTTTATGTTTTGTTCTAATGTTTTCATTGTAGTATTATTGGTAAGTTTTTAGACTTGTTGCCACATCACAACCATTCTCGGGCATATGCTAATCACTTCTCGAACCAGCATAGTTGATCAGGCTATGCCACTCCTAGAACTGACCATACATCCCGATTCTACTTGTGATGTTTAACAATCGTAATACTTTTGTTCTGTCCTAGTGAGCTGATTTTAGAATGAACAGGTACGTATACTTGGTTAAATATTTTAGAAATTAAAGTATAAACTCTTGATCAGAGTATTTTAATCCCACTATGTTTATAGTTTGTATATTTTTTATGTGTTGATACAATCAATTCACTATAAACAATGCTCTGATACCAATCTGTCGAACCCGAAAACCAGAAAAACAGAAACGTTCGAGGGTGGAGGACATCATGTTCAGTATCACAACATAGAATTATAGTAAACAAGCAAACAAAATCATCCATTGCATTAATAATGTACTTTAATACAAGTGTTCTGTATAGTTTATAAGAGACCAAAATATGAATCAAAATAAAAGATGAGTCTTGAATGTGCTCCATCTTCTCAAAAGCTGTTATCGGTACCTGTCTACTGATGACCTGTATTCAAGTCACTTTGAAAGAATTTATTAGCATTAAAGCTAGTGACTTCATAAGCATTTTAGTGTCATTGTTTGTATGAAAAATGTTTGCAAGTGCTTGAATGTATAAGTTTGTAAACTTTTGTAGTATAGTTGTAAGTGTTTACTTATATTAAAATGTTCGTTGTAAATGTTCGTAAAATGTTCGTACAATGTTCGTATCTTCCTAGAAAATGCCATATTTTCTACTAACTGTAATCTTCTACCAAGACCCAATGTTCGGTTTGTTTGTTTGTAAGAGTATGTATTTTCCCAAGTCTAACCATCGTTTTCAAAACATAGTTTGTACATTATCGTTTAATGAGAAAACGTTTCAAGGTAAATGTATTATGGAAAATACTATAGAACTGTAGTTTTGTATGTGGAAACTACCGTAGTACTGCTTACCTAAAAGCCAATGAATTATAAGGTAAGGTGTGATTTGTAACCATACTGATTGATGGCTATAGAACGCGACGATGAATGTGACATTTGTCACCCTTGGCATGGTCAGCTGGGGATTGTAGCTAACAGTTGGGGTGCGGGATAGCCTGTCCTGTATAAATCTATACACATAATGCCCGCTTTCCCTCCAGGACACTCTGGTTACCAACATAACAACGGTGGAATCCGCATAATGTAGAAGTAAATCTCATATTCTAATTGATGTGTAGGTGTATGTTCCTTCTGTTTACTTGTAAATGTATATGTATATGTTCTCTTCTCTCTACTTGTATATGTATATGTTCTTTTTTGTTCCTCATAATAATAAGTTATGTTTGTTTCTCATTAAAGTAAGTATTGAATGATGTATGAACTGACTCTTTGTATTTCTCCTTGTAGTAGATGTAATGAGTAGTATCTTCCTAAACTATACCTATTATAGTTTACTAGTAGAATTGTTTGTACAACTGAATGTATTGAACTGAGATAAAAGCTATTGTGTCTTATACATATATACATAATATATAACTAAGGATCAAACGACACTCGTACAAACAACCGGGGTACTCTAAGTCCACAACCAAACAAGGAACAGGAAAATAAAGTGAGTTATCAGTCCTAAGTCCTTCAAACCTTACTTATATAACTATATATGCATTAGACATGGTTTTGATAGTATTTTTATGTTTAAAAAGAAGTTTTGTAAAACCTTTTGAAGAGTTTAATAACAAATATTGATGACTTGATGCCACTTTATTAAATGATTTAAAAGCAGTTTGGCAGATAAGAACAAGTTTGATAAAGAGTGTATCATGTGAAAGAGTTTGATAAACCTTTTGAAGTTGTTTGTTTGATAAAACCACTTAAAGTATAGTAACTCCATTTGTTTGATAGTATAAATCACATGTGATTGATATAATAACTATAATCATTCAACTTGTATCCCCCCCATAAAAGCATTTAAAAACATTAAAAAGGTTGATTAAGGGGTATGAACTCACCTGTTAGTGACTGGTTTGGATGAAAGTGTTGTATTGGATGCTAAGTGTCAAGTGAAGACTTGAGAACGCACATGGATCCTCGTTAGCACATAATGACACATATATGTATCTAATTAGTGATTAAACAACTAATTAAGCAACTAAAGACACCCTAGGAGATGGAAAACACTTTAATTCAAGTGCTAGAAGTACAACGGGTTGGATCTAAGGGTTGTAGGGCCTCACATTGGAGTTTACGACCCTAGTGTAAACCCCCATGAGTTTACGGCCGAATGAGTTTACGGCCGTAAACTCATGGTATCTTGTAGCATTTTTGATGTTTAAGGTTGTTAACTCAATTTGGAAGAAATTAGGGCTCATTTGCACCCATCATTAGGGTATACGACCAAGGGAGATTGCCTTGGTCGTAAACAACCTTTTGTTCTTGATTTATTGAGTTTTCAAGTCACTAATTCAACAACATAACTATCAAATATGTATAGGAGGTAGGGACTTACAATTTGATGGGTAATGGTGGGTGTTTTCGGCCCCAAAACACTTAAGTGTTCTTGGTGTTCTTGATGATCTTGAAGATCTAGTTTCAAAAGCTGAAAGATGGATGGATTCAAGTATGAATCAAGAATAAGTGATGTATAACCCATAGATGGAAGGATTTACTTACATTATTTGAAGATTGGAAGCAAAACCTATGATCCTTAGGAGAGAAATCCGATTTCTTGGGCTTGAAAGGTGAAAAGTGATTAAAAATCACTAAGGATCATATATATATATATATATATATATATATATATATATATATATATATATATATATATATATACACCATGGAGTTTACGGCCACGTTAAGTTTACGGCTGTAAACTCAATGGTCTTGGCCGGAAACTCCTCTTTTGAGGGCGTAAGGCCTGCTTGGCTGTTTACAAGTTCAGTCGACACTTCCTTTCACTTATTCCTTTGATGTGTTTAAGCTCAGAATGCTCAAACGAACTCCAAAAGTGATAAAAGTTAGCATAAACAAGCTTGAATTTGATTGAAATGTAGGGTTATACAAGGTAGAAATTTCGGGTTGTCACAAAATCTCTCTGAAAAGCTTCAACCTGTATTCGCAATGCTAAGTGAACTGCAGGGTGTTTTGGGAAGTAGGGATTCTGCAAAACAATGGGGAGACGAGGAAGAAAATTTAAAGAATGAAACTGATCGGAAGGATAATGAGGCTTCTGGATCAGGAAAAGACAAAGGCAAAGGTATTTTTGGAGAAGGAAATGATGAAGATGCAAACATTAGTAAGTCGGAAAGAGTAGAAAGAGAGAAAATAGATAAAGAGCTTGATGAAGTCAATGCTCTTCGGAAGAAATTCGAGGCAAAAGAAGCTGAAGCCAAGAATTTGCAACTGATTCTTGAAACTTAGAAGTCTTTATTTCCTTCCTGGTCTCATGAGTGTATACATAAAGACATTATTGATGATCTGAATCTCTACTGCCTAGAGCCAACAACAACTTTCAACTTAGATAATGATGTGGAATGTCAGTTTGATTTTCCCATCACTCCAAGGATATTTCTCTTCAGGTGCTTTGAGAAGATTGGGAAATCCGTGATCTTTGACAATGTAGTAAACCGAAAGCTTTTTTCATTTTACCTGAAATATGCAAAATTACAATATGGGACATGGAGCTTAAAAAGAATTATGGCATGAAAGGTTGGATTGTCGGTTTATACTGAAGACTGTTTGAGTATTCAGTTCAAAGGATTCCGAGATGCCAATCGCATTCTTCATGAGTTCACTTTGGCTGATCTGCCATTCATTAACTCTGATGATTATTTATCTCTGTTTTACATTGTGGCGAAAGATTTCAAGAAGTATGAGCCAATTTTTGAACACTTGATGTCAATGATCATGTGTTACATCCTAGACATTGCAAAAATGGATGTTGAGATCACCTCTATTCTGAAGAAGAGGCCTATTCTGAAGCCAGATGAACAATTGGAAAATATCCAAGCATTAGAGCATTATTTACAAATGGAAGGAATGTGAAGACATCTATGACTACATCCATGAATGCTCTAAAAACAATCATATCTTCGGCCGAAGCCAGCAAAGCAAACTCTATTGCCAACACCAAATGCCTTTCTGGTATGATTCGCTGGTATTTGTCTATTTGAAGTGATGGTTTTGAGCATTCTAACAATCCTATGGTTTATATGCAACCCTAGAAACCTTGGGCCTACGTTTTACTATGATACATGCAAATTTGATTTCCAAGGTTCATAACCTATCTAGCATGCATGTGGAACTTTTAACCATAAAAGCTAGTAAGTAAACATACCTTTTGTTGCTTGAATTCCTTTGAGAACCTTGTTAGTCTAGCACCCCAAATGAGATGCCTCAAATACTTCAAAAAACACTAAATACACTTGGAATAACTTAGAAAATCATCTAGCCCTTACTTGTCTCACTTAGTGGCCGGTTTTTGGTCTACAATATGATGCTTATATAGTGTTTCACAATTAGGGCTACACCATGTAAACCCTAATTGACATGGATTTCATTTGTTGGATCCATGGGTTCAAAAACACCATGGAGCATCTTATGGGTTTTAGCCCAACTTGATAAACCATGCAACATTAACCCACTATACAAGAATAGATGATTTACACAATCAATCCACATATTTAATTAGTCTCCTTTTGATCAAAAAACTAATTCTAAATTAATTCTTGATCAACACAAATTAAATCATATTATTAATATATTAGAACTTATAATATATTAATAAACCATAAGTGTCCTTTTTCTCATTTTAGTCTACCCAAGTGCATGATGTCATGCAACCCAAATGGACCATGCCAAACCGGGACAAGTACATACCATAAATAGTTATGGACTTAGACACATTATCCAATAGTCTCCCACTTAAATAAGTCTAATAACTATTACTGCAAGTATGACTTTAGGAACCGATTAGCAACCATAGCTCTTTCAAGGTCTCTCGGAACTGAGATGATGACGTTACGCCACTTAAGATAAGTGATCATAAAATCCTCTGCTCTCAAGATATCATCCGAACAAATACATTAAACAATGTCGTACTTATTGTCCAACAATTTGTTTCCCGATTTCCAATTTGTTTGACATAGAACTTAATCGAACACATCAATTTAGTTCTGACCAGGCCCAATACAAAGGTCAAAACAAAATCATCGAGGGGCCTAGATGTGACAACTCGAAATTTCTATCTTATACAAACCCTACATTTCAATCTAGTCAAACTTATCTCTGCTAACTTTTAGCACTTTTGGTGTCCATTTAAGCATTCGGAGCTTTAATACATCAAAGGATTTAGTGAATGAGAGTTTCAGTTGAACTTGTAACTTGTCAAACAAGCATCAAACCCTCACGAGAGGAGTTCACGACCAAGACGCTTGGGTTTACGGTTGTAAACTCCAAGTGGCCGTCAACCCCTTGTATAAATATGACACTTAGTCATTTTCCCCTCATTCTTCACATTCTAAGCTAGAGAATTCGATATTCTCTCCCAACGATCTTCAAGTTTTCTTCCAATCTTCACTAATGTAAGAAAACTCTTCCATCATTGTGTTGATTACATCACTTCTACTTGATTCATCTATGAATCCACCCAGAAATCCCATCTTTTTTTCTAGATCTTCTAGATCCTCAAGAACACCAAGAACACTTATGTGTTTTGTGCCAAAAACTCCCCTTTTTCTCCTTCAAACTGTAAATCCTTACCTTCTTTACATGTTTATAAGTTAGTATAATCAGTTAGGGGATTGAAAACATCAATAACCAAACAACCAAGGGAGTTTACAGCCAAGGCAATCTCCCTTCACCGTAAACTCTAATAAAGGGTGCATTGTTGCTCTAAATTCCTTCCTAAGGCTTGGAACTTGGCCTAGAACACCTTCCCTTTGAGCTAAGGACCTTAAACATCGAATTGATGCAAGTCACCATGGGTTTATGGCCGTAAACCCATGAGGGATGCAAACCTAAGCTGTAAACTCATGGAGAGTTGGTCCTTGCACCGTAAACTTTATAGCAAAGCCATATAACCCTTAGAAGCAACCGTATGATCTTATAACACTTAAATCAAAGTCCTTTTCCATGTTCTAGGGTGTCTTTACTTGATTAATTAGTGTTATAATCACTAATTAGATGCATATATGTGTCTTTATATGTTAAATAGCGTTAGTGTGTGTGTTCAAGTCTTCACTTGACACCTAGCACCTTATCGAACACATACATCCAATCCGCTCACTGTAGGTGAGTTCATACCCCTTAGTAAACCCTTTAATTGATTTTAAATGCTTTTACAGGGGGGGAGGAAGGGGAATACAATTTTAATATGATAGTTATTATATAAATCACATGTGATTAATAACTATCAAACAATGGATTTACTATGCTCTTAGCTGTTTTATCAAGCAACTACTTCAAACTGCTTATCAAACTCATTTACATTTTAAACTCTTTACCAAACTCTCTGTTATATATCAAACCTTCCCTTTTATAGTTTCCAAACTTATATATTGTTAAAACCATGTTTATTATATGTATAATTATATAACTAAGGTTTGAAGGACTTAGAACTGCCAACTCACTTTAATTGTATAATTATATAGCTCCTGTTCCGAATACTAAACCTCGTCTAGATTTTCAAGGCCCGACGCCTGCATTAGTGGAATGCTTGGAAACATGGAGCGAAGAGAAAAATCAGCCCATATCATTCAATGGAGACCGTAGCTTTTATGACATGAGTGAAGGAGGCTCATCAGACAGAGTCTTGCCAATCCTGGTCCGAAGGGTTGCTCGAAATGAAATCCAGGGCAGGAAAAACTCTCCATCGCATCACGGAGGTAGATGCAAATGCAAGAATGCATACCATTCGCACCAGTCATCTTGAAAATGCTCGAGAGAGGTCTGTGACAGACCACAAGGCCCTACAACAAGCACTAGCCGAGACTCGGTCTGAAGTCGTAGAGCTCCAGGTTCACCAGAGAGTTTATGAACAACACCTTCTCGACATGGAGCATCAACTGGAAGACCTTGGGGTTCGCCCGAGGAATGCCCGCCGCCGTTAGAAGATGTTTAGCACATCTTTTATTTTGGTTAAGGAATAGCCTTTTCTTATCTGTGCTCTAGGGAGCACTTGTCTATAAAATATTCCTGTCTTTCAGTACACTATCTAGTCTACTAAACTTTCAACATTTTCCCCTCATATGGTTTGATGTAAGACCTACTGTTAGGTCATTTTTCCCGAACTCATTTACATCAGTAATACCAGTAATATTGCCAGTTCTAATCTATTGGAAAGTCTATACCCTTGTGTTTTCCGTACTTTATTGTTATGTCTCTATTAAAATCATAGACTGATTCTAATGTTTGGACTATGGCGATTTAGTCCATGGATCACTCTCATCATACTTTACAATTGATTCTTACTATCATCATCATCTCTATAAACTTTCAGTAAAAGATGGCACCTCGCAAGCATCCTACCAAAGGAAGGACGGAAAATCAAACGCCACCACCACCTCCTCCACTAATCGATAGGTCAGCTCTAAATTTTTTTCAGTAGCTGCGGCTGTGGAACAACCATGGCTCAATATCACTCTACGGGTGCCAGCAGAGGTGGAACACCTGTTAATTCTACACAAGGTGAATTCCTCATGCGCTCGAGAGAGTGCTCCTACAAGGACTTCACCAACTGCAAGCCAAAGTCCTTTAAAGGGACTGGTGGAGTCATTGCCCTCTCGCAATGGTTCGAAAAGATGGAGTCGATCTTCAAGATTTGCTCCTGTCCAGCAGAGAGCAAGGTCAAGTTTGCTGCTTGCACCTTCGAAGAAAAAGCCCTGACATGGTGGAATAGCCATGTCAAGTCACTAAATCTAATAGTGGCAAATGATATGGGGGTGGGAAACCCTAAAGGACCTCATGATTGAGGAATACTACCTGCAGGGTGAAATCCAGAAGCTAGAATAGGAACTATGGATCCTAACCATGAAGGGCTCCGAGCTGGTGGCTCTATATCCCAAGATGGTTCCCACTGAGGGGAAGAAAATAGAGAGGTATATCTGGGGGCTGGTGCCTCCATTTCAGGGGAATGTCTTATCTTCAAACCCCGCTACGTTTGATAGTGCCAAGTGATTGGCACAACGACTCATTGACCATGGGGTCCGTACCCTATCAACAACAACCCTAGCCATCTCAGAACCCTCCAAAGTAGTTGATAACAAGCGGAAATTCTGGGATGACAAGAAAAAGAAAATAGCTGTAAAAAGCAGAAGGTCGTGGCGGCTCATGTTGCGATAGCACCTGTCGTTGCTGCTCCGATAAAGCAGTACGCTGGAAGTTTGCCAAAGTGCAACAAATGTAACTTCCACCACAACGGT